CTTTCCTGCCTATGCAGGGGGTCAGACTCGATGATCTATTGAGGTCCCTTCCGACCCTAACATCTATGAATCTATGAATCTATAATTCAAACTGTTAGGGCACAGACAGAAGTCCAGCTCCCTGCTGTAAAACACAGTGCTTTACAAGAAATGCCATGAGTTACAGCAATCCCCCAGACCCAAATGACATTTGCTGTTGGGTCCTGGAGGCTGGGGCATCGAGCTGCAATTTAGAGCTGCTGTGAGTCTGCAGCCACTCTCCCCTAGTCCTGCCCCTCCACCCTCATAACCCCGGTGCTGTCTTCAGAGTGGGAGAGAAGGGAGTTTCACCTGGGGTTTGCCTAGCCTGCATTGAAGGGTGGTGCAGGTGGACTGAATTCACACCCCTGCCTCCAGCGCTGGCTGGGCATAACCCAGACAGAACTCCCTCAGCCACCTTCCCCCCGTCAGTCTGAAGACAAGGCTAAGAGGCATCAGGCCAGCCCTGCTCCCAGCATGTGCTGACAGATGTTAATGAAGGCATTTCACTCTGGAGCGCCTTCATCTGAACCCTGGTGTAATGAAGGTTTAGACTGCTGTAGGATCATGCCCTTTTAAAGCACTCTGCAGCCATGCTCTTCTGTGAGGGCTCAGCTGTAGAGCGCTTTCAAGGAGCTAATCGCATGACAAGCATAACTTCTGTCTACACCCTTACTCAGGTGTTGTCCCTAACCCCCTCCCACCACCATGCACATGAAGAATACATCCATGTGTGGTTTACACCAAAGCTTGCTGGCCCATCCTGGGGAATAAGGTAAAGTCAGACTGCTGCTTTCACCTGTGTTGCCACCTACCCACTTTTCAGCATAGAGGCAAGTGAAACCACATGGGTGCTGATAATCCTTCCCACAATTTTCCCCGTGTGCCCAGAAAGAGCAATTTAATTGAAAGAAATCACTGAGCATTTCAGCTTACCGCAGGACCCTGAACTATGGGATATGACCTCAGAAGTCCACGTGCCCAATACGAGGGAGTTCAGAGACACAGTTGAATGGATACATTTTAGTATGGGGGGGCAGAGGGGAGAAGGAGAAGCACAGGGGGGGAGCTGTTGCTATTGCCATGCATGCTCTGCC